AGATGAAGTGTTATTTATCAGAAAGCATAAATTCCTTCTTGGAATAAGGCTAAGAAAGAGGATCCAAATCTGGAGTTTAATTTTTAGTATTTTAGTTAGTGTTTAACTAATTAAATCACATCACATCATTTCATGATTAACACAAAAAAATTAATTAAAAAATAATTTAAATTTTTAATATGACGTGACATAATTTAATTGGTTCGATATTAATTAAGACATTAAAATTAAATAACAGATTTGAATTTGAGAAAGAAGTTCCAAAAATTTTTATTTTAGAATTTTGTCTAGTTGGCATTAAAAAAATAACGCACCACTAATTTAATATGATGTGAACGTGATATGACTAGATCTAACAATAAAAACCGGCCCTACTGATATGGAAGCCATTTCATAAAAAGACCTATTTTGGCTCTTTTTTTTATTTATTTGGGCCGAAGTGCAAGTGCTAATAAGGAGTACTGTATTTCTTCATTATCACTAATCCACTGTAATGTATCGACTAGAGAGTCAAATGTCCAAAAGTTTATTTTGAAAGGAATTATTAGGAAACAATGTATTTATTTTAAAGGTTCTGTAGGGTTTAAATCATGATTTTTGATTACGCTACAATGTTTTTCTCTCATAAAAAGTTTAAATTTTAAAAGTCAAAATAAAAATCACTAATTTAAACTCATAAATTAAACAGACTTTAGATGATACAGAGTTATTGCACATTCACAAAAAGTGTTATGCGACAAATTTTGTTCTTCAGAGGGATTAAGTTAAAGGAAAGAGGAGCTAAAATTATGCTTCGACTTAAAATGTAAGCACAAAAAATAATCACCCAAAAAGTGCAACTAAAACTTTCTAAATTGGATTATTTTCAGTTTTATATGTTTCTTGGAATAGGCCTTGAAACTTTCTAAATTGGATTATTTTCAGTTTTATATGTTTCTTGGAATAGGCCTTGAGGTATAAAAGAGAGATTTTAGAAATTTCTACCCTTTTTTTTTTTTTTGGGTACATTTTTATTTGCCCCAACTAGCCAATGCATGTATTGTTGAAATTACATTTTCAGTACTCACAGCCACCATATACCAGAAAGTCTAATCGTTCATTTTTTTTTTTTTTTTTTTTTTTTTTTTTTTTTTTTTTTTTTTCTGTGGAGGGAAATAGTACAAATCCTATCTTTTGTTAATTTCTTGGTGAAAAATAGATCCTTGTAAGTTTGAGGCTTAAAATGTAACAGGGCTGTTGCAGAGTATCTCTCATGATCTTTATCCCCGGATGATATTAATCTCACGCTTGGGTGCACACAAGCTACTTAGATCATATTGACAGCCCTTGCCCGTCCCGGTGCCAACATTCTGCTTCCAAGGCCAGGCTTTCCTACTATGAAACTCGAGCAATGTGTTGCAATCTCGAGGTTCGTTGCTTTGATCTTCTTCCTGATCAACGTTGGGAGATCGATCTTCAAAGCGTCGAAACTCTTTCATATGAGAATACTATTGCCATTGTTGTCATAAATCCTGGCAATCCTTGTGGAAGTGTGTCTACTCACGCCAGCATTTAGAGAAGGTTGGTCCTCCAATGACTCTTGATCATTCTTCATTTTCGAGCTCTCATGATGGAGAAATTAAGGTCGGAAAAATCTCGCAGTTTTCATTTTGTATTATTGTAGGTTGCAGAGATGGCAAGGAAGCTTAGAATTCTCGTGATTGCGGATGAAGTTTACGAGCGTCTTACTTTTGGAAGTACCCCATTTGTGCCTGTTGTAACACTTGGTTCTATATCAAATAGATGGTCTGTTCCCGGTTGGCGGCTTGGTTGGCTTGTGACAAATGACCCCAATGGCATTCTTCGGAAAACTGGGGTCCTCTTTTCTCTCTAAATCTCTCCAACTCTGTGTGTGCTTGAGCCTGTTTAGTTGATGTTATACTCGAATCAAAAATTTGTGCAGGCACATACATGAACACGTTGAGGCTTATGATAGTTAGGACTATGAACAAAAGTTTAATATAGTTTCTGATATCAGAATTTTTTTTTTCTTCCTCCAACAGGTGATTAAGTAAATTATTAGCCGTCTTCTTGTCTCATCTGATCCTGTAACCTTCATTCAGGTACTGAATTTTGCAATTCTATTTATGAGTACATGATTATGCCTTTATCTTTCTATGCTTTAACTTTCAATCAATTTGAGTTTATGTGTCAAAAAAAAAAAGAGAAAAACTAATTGGCTTCTATGCTTTAACTTTCAATCAATTTGAGTTTATGTGTCAAAAAAAAAAATGAGAAAAACTAATTGGCTTTTTTTTTTTGACGCTTTTGTTTGATATGGTGCCGTGAGGCTTATGGCTCCCACTTCACTAACAAGAAAAATTATCTGACTTATGTTTGACGCTTTATTAACATATCTCGAGAGCAGGCAGTTTCTGCAGTGGGAATGAGAGACACTGCAGATGACATAGAAAAATTGCTGCGTTTGGAGCAAAAATTCGTGTCATGGTTCGGATCATGGTTCGTGGCTCGTTACAATATTTTTTCTCACAAAAAATACACGTAAACTGAGAATGGTTCTGAATCATGGTTCTGAACTCATGAACCAAATGTGTTAAATTCTCTAACATGTAGGTTTCGCGTGCGACTAAGATATCTGTAGTAATGGTGATTTGAACTGCATCTTCCTCTTTTCATAAAAAAAAGGAGGAAAATATGGTTTCTGTCTTCCCATATTTCTCTCGAACTTCATTGGGGTCTACCGAAAAGTTCAAGAAAAAAAAAGGGAAAAAGGGGGCTTGAGAGGAAAAGAAAAAATAATTGTTAATGATTCAAGTATAATCCATGCTTTTGCTGTTGCTTACCAGCTTAACTATTAAACAATTCGGTTTATGCACCAGGGCGCGCTTCCTAACATCATTCAGAACACAATGGAGGATTACTTCTCAAAAATTATTGAGGCACTGAGAGAAACTGCAGACATATGTTATAACACAATAAAAGAAATCCCTTGCATTACCTGTCCAAACAAGCCGGAAGGCTCCATGCTTGTAATGGTGAGTGGCAGCATATTGCCTGCATACTTTCTTAAGCCACTAAAGAAAAATGTTAAAAATATTTCAGTTGTATTGCAGGTGAAGCTAAACGTTTCTTTGTTGGATGACATTAATGATGACTTGGACTTCTGCCTCAAGCTTGCGAAAGAGGAATCGGTTATGGTTCTACCGGGTAAGAAGAAATCATTTACAAGAATCATTATTTTCAGTTCTAGGTTGCATCTTCGTTTAGGACAGTAAGATAATTCCTGATCTGCTGTTTGACATTTATCCACAATCCAATAGTAGAGCATATCATGGTATTTATGGCGCATTTACTTCACGTGAATGAGAAAGAGAGAGGGAGAGGGCGAAGAGTATTCTTGTTTTACCTATTCATGTGTCTACTTAAAAAATCACGAGCAATAATTTAGTGCACCCGTATGATATAAGAAATGAGGGAAGGGAATGACAATCTTAACTTTCCTCTTGGTATTATTACTCGATTAATTGGAGTAGATGCATAATTTACTGATATGGGTTTATAAGCCGATGATCATAAAATTACGGACCAGGAAATTTCAGTAATTAGTTGACAAGATCTTATTCTTAAATTTAGTAAAAGCTGGAAGGGAATTAGTTCTTTTCCCATTCCATTTCCAAATAGATAATATAAATACTCAAGAGTAAATCAATGATCCCCATTTATATTCCTTTACTCTCTTTTCTAAGCTGACTACTTTTCCCACAATATTCCATTACGGTTTGGTAAACATACCATTAGTTTGTAGGATGTTAAAGTTGATCTTCGTCTTAATTTTGAGCAGGATAAATTTGACTTAAGCAGATGTTTACCTGGACATCAGAACTACTTTTCCCACAATATTCCATTACGGTTTGGTAAACATACCATTAGTATCTTCGTCTTAATTTTGAGCAGGATAAATTTGACTTAAGCAGATGTTTACCTGGACATCAGTGGCAATTAATGAGAAACAGAACTATTAGAATTTGCTTAGTTCCATTCGAAAAAGAAAAGCTTTATGCTATACCCCAATGGGGTGGTAAATTCCACATTTCTTGAGCCAGAAGTAATTCTTAGAATTCACTTTTTTTGGCAGGCGTAACTGTGGGAATGAAGAATTGGCTGCGCATTACGTTTGCCGTTGAGCTTTCAGTTCTTCAAGATGGCCTTGAATGGATAAAGGCCTTCTGCCAAAGGCATGCAAAAAAGCAATAGGATTTTTCGGAATGATAAGCAATTCCTTGAAAATTGGCAGTTAGAATAAGGTAGGGTGTTCTTAAATAAAATCCCTCTCTAGTGAAGATGAAGTCAGAATAAGGCAGGGTGTTTGAAGATTACCAACTTTTGTTGGTTTTCATGTTTGCGTGCACCCAAAGATGACCAACTTCTTGTCGGGTCTATGATGCCTGTATTCGGACGTAGATTGGCAACTATGCGTTGCTTCTCATGTTCTTGGTCCTTGGTGTTTACATATCCATTATAAATGTGGCATGAGATCAATGGCTCCTTGTTGATTTTTTGATATTTGATTGTAATATGCTTCATACTCGCATGATTCCTAATATAAACTCTTTTAGATTAAGTTATTGTTGGATTCCTTGTCTCATTGTCTTTTGCCTGACCTTTCTTTCTGGTTTAACATTTCTAGAAATGATTGTGTTCGCAAGTTATGTAGTCTTTTAAATAATTGGACTAACTTTTTGTGAGAGAAAATATTGTAGCAAAAAATGGTTTGAATCAAAGCCTTTTAGTTAGGTTCAAACCTATGAAACAAACAAAGGCTTTCATCAAGTATGAGTAGTCCCAATATCAGCTCAGAATGATTGTTGCTCATCCATGTTACCGTTTACTCATATCTTCTTTGATTTCCCTTAATAATTCACTGTATAGTTTCTATGTCCCATTTGGTTACCAAGCAAAGTAAGAAATTGATAGGAAAGTTCCTTATTACTAAACGGTTTTCTCTCAGGGCTTTTAAGAGAGACAATCAATTAGCCAAATGCTGGTAATACCACAACTTGTCTGTCATATTAAGCTAAAATCTGGCTATTTTACCAACCAGCAGACAACTAAGAGAGTTTTCATAACAATTCTGAAAGAGAGATCAGCCAACAGATATTGTTGATCACTATCAAGCTGAATATAGAAACCTCATTACTTCTTCTGGGCAAGTGGTTTATTTTTATCTAATAGGTCTAAGCTGGAGATTGAGAACTGAAATCCAACGCTTAAGTTGTATCTCAACTAGTCACTCAAATATATGACTTAGGGACATTAAATATTACTGCTTCTTGGCATGTCTTTGGCAGAAAGCTTTTAGCCTCCCAAGGGCATCTTCAAGAGAAACAAGCTCAACGGCAAAAGTAATTCGCATCCAGTTTTTCAATCCGACAGCAACTCCTGCAAGCATCAATCGATAGAACTTCAGTAATAATGAATTATCTGATGGAAAATAGGCACGGTAAAGGAATCAAAAGGTTCCTTTAGGTGCCAACAAGTGTGCAAGTGAGGCGCTCAGTCTTTACCTGGCAGAATAATGACAGATTCCTCCTTAGCCAGCTTGATACAGAAGTCTACATCATCAACAATGTCTTCAAGTGGGGACGGGTTTAGCTTGACCTGAATTATAGAAAACTTTTAAATTAGTGTAGAACTGTGAGAATTCTGCGGTAGGTACGAAAAAATAGCTACTGCTTAGATTGGAATTGTCAAATCTATATCACGTTCTGTCAGTTTCACATGCTTTTATTTCTTTGTTGAGATTTTGACCATATCCAACATTTGGAATCATGCACTAGTTATAGAGATACCTTACTGTCGTAGAATTGAGGCATGAATACAACAGAGCTAGTCTCAGATTTTATAAGTCCTCACCATTACAGTCATGGATCCTTCTGGTTTGTGTGGACAACTAAGGCAAGGAATCTCCTTAACTGTTTCATACAAAAGGTCTGCAGCTTGTCTCATTATGTTGATGATACTCAAAAAGAATTCGTCGTTTGTTTTCTCGAGAATCTCAGGAACTGCAGCCTGAGGAACACAAGCCACATCAGTTTGGTTTTCACGTTTGTTTCTTCAAATTACACCAAAAAAGGGAAGGGATAAATTGATCAACGGGCTACCTGAATGAAGGTTGGAGTGTCAGATGTGATGTTGAGGCAGTTGTTAATGCTCTCCACTATCTGTGAAGGAGAAAATAGGATAAGATAATAGATATATATTCCATAAGAAGACATGGCAATTTGAGGAAAGAGAGAATAGAAACCCCAGTTTTTCTAAGTAGGCCATTGGGATCATTTGTCACAATCCAACCAAGTCTCCAACCAGGAACAATCCATCTCTTTGACAAGGACCCAAGTGTAACAACAGGAACCAGTGATGCAAACTCTCCCATTGGCACAAATGGATTGCTCCCAACTACTAAATGGCCATAGACTTCATCAGCAATCACAAGAATCCCTAGTTTCCTTGCCGTTTCCGCAATCTACAAGCACAAAAACCAAACACAAAAACCTCAATTACACCAAACAAATTAATGAATTTTTAAAAATCTAATTCAGCACCTTCTTTAAATGTTGGTACGTAAACACATTTCCACAGGGATTGCTGGGGTTGATGATAACAATAGCCACAGTGTTGTCATCGGCAAGAGCTTCAACAGAATCAAGATCCACTTCCCAACCGTTCTCGGGAACAAGATCAAAATGGCGGACTTCGAGTTTTTCGTAAGCTGCTCGAGCTTCATATTGAGGGTAACCTGGTCTTGGGAGCAGAATGTTGGCATCAGGACGTGCCAGAACTGATATTATGATCTCTATTGATTGTGTGCAACCAGCTGTGAGGTAAACATCATCTTCTAATACTTCGTAGGAGAGATCCTTGGAGAGGTACTTTGCAATAGCCCTGGTGTGAAATATATTAAAATGAACTTGATGTTTCATATATATGTTCCCGTTACTAAAATTGTTTAAAAAAAAAAAAGAAAAGAAAAGTTTCCCCATTTGTATTATAGCCCAGTTACTGCATTTGAGAGAGAAATTTTTAGCTTCGAATTTATGCTACGAATATTGGAGCCTTTTGATTTGTCCCGTACAAATGAACTAGTTAAAGGTTACCACAATGTGCATATATATATATATATATATATCCAAACTACAAAAAGACTGACATAAATTCGAAAACATATAAAATTTTTTATAATGCCACCTAATTTTCTCACTCGAAGAAGATTAGTACTGAGCACATTAACATTGAATTTACCAGGTGATTAGTCACTCACCACTATTTTTTTTTTTTTAAATAGCAATAATATGTGATAAAAAGTCATCCTCTGTCCTTTCAAAAAAAAAAAAAAAAAAGTCATCGTTCTGTTTGTCATACAGATTCAGGAATCTGAACCAGCATTTAGGAAGCAATTATGTTCAAGGACTTTTAGGGTGCATTTGATATATGGATCCAGAATTATAATTTTAAATTCTAGTTCAGAATCAGTATTTGTTTACAGTGATTTTGAATCATGATTTAAAATAAGTGTTTGGTTTGCATGATTCTGAATCATGATTTAGAATCTGATGTGATGTTTTAAATTAGCTCAAATCATGATTCTAAAACCACCCCTCTTAATTCAAAGTTATTCAAACCTCTGATTTTAAATCATAGTTTCAGAATCATAATTTAAACCTCAAATCATGAATCATAATTCTGGTTTCAGAATCATAATTAAAATCACTATTCAGAACCATTCTTGATTTACGTGTACTTTTTATGAGAAAAAATATTATAGCGAGTCACGAACTATGATTCGAATCATAACACAAATCCTTAAAGCATGCCAAACGTAATAGTGTAATCAAACACACAATAATATATTATTCATATCACCGGTTATCATTTTTTCAAGAATATAATTTCTATAATTACTACATATCAATCAATATCATAAAAGTAATAGTACTAGTACTATGGAAGAGAAAAATTAGTACTACTAATAGTATTTGGGAAACTATAACCAGAAACATAATTTGCATGCAGTGGCAAATAAAAGAAATAAAAAATGCACCTCCTAGCCTGAAGGACGCCGGCGGTGGGAGCGTAAGAGTTGAACTTGAAAGAGCGGAGGGCGTCGGAGACAGCGTCGACGGCGAGCGGCGTCGTCCGAAAGCTCGGAAACTCGGTGGGGTCACCACGGCCAAGCATAATGCTTGGCGTGATCTTACATTTGGCTTTGTCAAGGTTGTCCAGAAGCATGTTTAGAATACCTCGGACGGAGAGGCAGGCTGCGTTGAGCTCTTTGTTGCCTTGGAACTTCCATTTGATCTCGTTTTCATAATAACTACATCCATTTTTTTCCATATCCATGGCTGATGGCTCCCAACTGATGATCTGATCCTCTATAGCAGGGACGCTGGAAAAACAAAAAGAGAGTTACTATTATATATTATTAGCAGACCCTCATCGAAATTCGGAAGTGGCAGGTAGGTTTGGTGGACTGATTTATTTTATTTTTGTTTTTTTGCTTGAATTGTTAATATTTTTGTTTTGTCTTTTGCTCTTTTCCTCTCTGTCAGCAAAACCACGTGGCGTTTCTGATTTGTTATTTTATAATTGTGCGGACCTGAATATGTGTACGTCCTCATGAACTATTTGGAATAATTTTCTTAGCCAAAAAAAGAAATGTTAGGGAAAATTACAAAATCATCCTTCAGTTAAAGTGAAATGGCAGACATGTTTTTTTTTTTTTTTTTTTTTTTTTTTCCGACCCCAAATGAAAAAAAAAAGGGGGAAAATTTTTTTTTTTTTTTTTTTTTTTTTTTTTCACGACTCAAATGACAACTCAAAATTTTTTGTTGTAATGTTTTCTCCTATAAAAATTTAAATTTAACTTTTTTATTACAATATTTTTTCTCCCATAAAATTTACTTTATAACTCAAGTTTTTCTAGAGCGAGTTGTGAAAAGAACATGTCCAGTTGTATTAGGAGTTATAAAAGTGGCTTTTCATCATTTTCTCTGGAGGAGCCGTTTGTAACACCCCCCATAATATGACTCTAAATTATCCAATTAGTCATATTAAGTAGTCTTACTTCTTAATCTTCTCTTAAATTACCCTAACATGTTATACGTATTAAGTATAAAAAAAATACGGGTAAATTTGAACTTTTTAAACTTCCTAACAAGGAAAGATAATCAAAATATATATAGGCTCCGTTCACTTCGCTGATTCGAGTTTAGAATTCGAGTTTTTCTATAGTAAAAAGCTCTCACAAACAATCACATCTAACTTTTTTGCTACAGTAAAAAGCTCTCACATAAAATCACATCTCAACTCGAATTCTAAATTCGAATCAGCGAAATGAACGGGGCCATAATGTACTCCAACAGGCTGGCCAAACATATACAATATAATACATCTATTAAAAATAGGCTCAGCCTTATACTATATATACCCCCACGGGCTCACATAATCCCTAAGTACAACGAGAACCTCTAAAATGCAGGTCAGTTAGTCCACATACACATGTCTCAGTTTTCAGGATTGCGCCAGCCAACCGTCTAGTCCATAACTAATGCTGAGATGTACCCTCATCTGCATCACCATAAAAATAAGTGAGCTAAAGCCCAATAAGTAGAATAATGCATGATATAACAACAATGAAAATATGTATGAGCTCATGACTTGTTAACATCATACATTTTAACTTTTCATTCATTCTTTTATCTTATGCGCACAATTACTTAGACGGGGTGGTATCCCAGATACCTTATCGGATCGTGTGGTGACAACATACATAACATCAAATGCCGTTGTGTGGGGTAAAACACATTTTTCACATTTAAAACCAATTCTTCCTCGTGATCATCGAGGAAGCTTCCCACACCGCAAGTCTCTATTGAGACAAAGGTCCTTTGACCTATATTATTAAAATGCTGTCACGTGGGGCTAATCATAATAAACACAAATCCTTTCCCGTGATCATCAGAGAAGCTTCCCACGCCGCAAGAGGTCTGGCAGTCTCCTTGGAGACACAAAACCCGTCAAAAACTACAAAACCATCATTTAACTCTCTCTTCACTTTTAATATTCATTCTTCTCATTTTATGTTCAACGGTACATATCTTTACATCATGTCATGCATGCATAGTTATGCTAACATCAATAACACATGTCTCGTATACTCACATATTACAACTTTGAATCACATAGTGTTAGAGAGATTGTAATATATCTCTCAATTACAATATCACAAAATTTTGACCTAAAACACAAGAAGGAAGCACTACAGCGCATGTTTAATGCGCTACAATGCCATTTAGAAAAACAGCGCGTGACAGTGCGCACAAGGCTGTGCGCGCTGCAACGCACGGACGCACTGCAGCGCGCACAAAACAGACCTCTCAGATCTGTTTTGTGATGCCCGAGCGCTGCAGCGAGAATCTCATCCGCTGTAGCGCAAATTGCTACCGAAAAACGTGTTTTCGTGTGTTTTAGTGATCTGAAAAGGTCTTGAACCATTGCATCCATTTGTGATATGCTTTCTCACATATCTGAGTACTTATTAACAATAGATATAACTATTGTTATAAGTGCATCAGCCCATAAAAGATAACCTTCAGATTGGAAAATGCATATTTATGTGAAAGCTTGTAACGTTTAAAGAGGATGTATGCATCCCTATCTTTAATCAATGCTCCAGAAAATCTTTAGACTTATTATTGTTTTGGAACTCAATATTTTTACTGGATATTGTGTTCAAGGGTTTGTTGTATCTTGGGGGTAATTTGCCATTAAAACTCATTAGCAAACTTTGAGAAGTGAGAGCAAATAAAACTTTAAAGGAAAGTATTTCTATATGCCTTAAACCCTCTTCTTACTTTCTATATTCTTTTCATCCTCCCAAATATGAATTTCCCAACAATCTTTACGGTTTTAAACTTGCTGCAATGGAGGTTGAAAAGAACATGACGTCTTTCCTCAATCCTAATGTTCAACTTGATCGTTTTGATGGTACCAATTTCACCCGCTGGAAGGGAAAGGTGTTCTTCCTTCTCACTGTGCTTAAGATCGCCTTTGTGCTTGATCCAAAATTGGAGCCACTTTCTGAACCAAAGGAGGATGATTCTGAAGAATTGAAGACTGCAAGGAAGAAGCGTGAAGATGATGAAGTCATGTGCCGGGGTCATATTCTTAACACTCTCTCCGATAGGCTCAACTATCTTTACAACTCGATGGAGTCTCCGGTGGAGATTTGGAACGCTCTCGAATACAAGTACAAAACTGAGAAGGAAGGTGCAGACAAATTTCTCATCTTGAAATTTCTTGAATTTGTCATGGTTGATACCAAGTTTGTTCTAGATCAAATACATGAATTGCAAGTCATTGTTACTAAGTGTCGTGAATTGAAAGTTGAAATTTCTGAATCATTTTAAGTGGGGGCAATTATTGCTAAATTGCATCAAAGTTGGAATGGTTATAGAAAGAAACTCCTTCATAGGAGAGATGACATAACTTTGGAGGAATTACAAAAACACTTGAGAATCGAAGAAGAGACTAAGTCTCGTGATTCCAAGAGCAAGATTATAGATTCCTCTAAAGTTAATGTTGCTGAAGCTAGTAAGTTTTCAAAGAATTTCAGTCAATAATGACAAGAAGTTCAAAAAGCCCGATAATGGCCAAAAGAAATTTTCTGAAAATTGTTTCTTTTGTAAGAAAGGCCATCGCCAAAATGACTGCAGATACAAGAAGAAAAAGGAAGAAGTTAACACCAACAAAGCCAATGCTGTTGAAGAGAAATCCGAAGACATTTGTGCTACGGTCTCAGAATTGCAAATTAGCATGATTATAGAAACTAACATGGCTGCATCTAAATCCTCCGATTGGTGGCTTGCTTCTGGTGTCACAATCCACGTTTGTAATGACAAGACTATGTTCTTATCATACAAAGTGGAAAAGGAAGGACAGACGGTTCTCATGGGGAATAATGATGCAACGATGGTTGCCGGGAGAGGAGTGGTGGAGATTAACTTTACTTCCGGAAAGAAGCTTACTTTGAACAATGTTCATCATGTTCCTGACATTAGAAAAAATCTTGTATCCGCTAGTCTTATGTGTAAGAATGGGCTTAAGATTGTACTTGAGGGCAATAATTGTATTGTATCTAAGAATGAGATCTTTGTGGGAAAGGGATATTCTTGTGATGGCATGTACAAACTAAGTATTAATAATAAAGATGATGTGAATTCTCTTTATATTGTTGATTCTTTTGATGTTTGGCATGCACGTTTAGCACACTTAAATTTTAGATCTTTGAAATATATGTCTAAACATGGTTTGATTAATTGCAAAGATATTAAAAATGATAAGTGTGAAATTTGCATACAAGCAAAGATGACTAAGAAACCTTTTCCTAGAGCCGAATGTAATACTCAAATATTGGATATGATTCATACCGATATTTGTGAGTATAATAAAATTTTGACAAGAGGAAGAAGAGATACTTTATCACTTTTATTGATGATTGTTCTAGATACACTTATGTGTATTTACTTAGAATAAAAGATGAAGCCTTTGATAAATTTAAAATTTATAAGGCTGAAATTGAGAACCAAAAAGATAAGAAGATCAAAATGGTTCGAAGTGATAGAGGTGGTGAATATTTCTCAAATGAATTTGATGCTTTCTGTGAAGAGCATAGAATTATTCACAAAAACTCAGCCCCTTTTACTCCTCAACAAAATGGATTGGCTGAAAGAAAGAATATAATTTTTACTAATATGATTAACTCTATGCTTCTTAATGCTAAATTGCCTAATAATTTATGGGGGGAAGCTTTACTTACAGCACGTCATGTTCACAATAGGATTACATCTATGAAAACACATGTCTCTCCATATGAAGTATGGAAAGGAAGAAAACCAAACTTAATGTATTTAAGGGTGTGGGGCTGTCTAGCTTTTTATAGAATGATTGACCCTAAATCATCAAAGTTAGGAGCTAGAGGAATTAAAAGTGTTTTCGTAGGATATGCTGAAAATTCCAAAGCTTATAGATTATTAAATCTAGATTCTAATGTTATTGTGGAATCAAGAGACGTTGAATTTGTTGAGAACAAGTTTAGCCTTGATTCTTCCATTGAATTAGAATCTAATATTAATCAACCATATGTTGACATTCCCGGAACCTCCACTAATAAAAGGAAAGAGTCTATGACATCTTTCGAACCGAGAAGAAGTCAACGTGAAAGAAAAGAAAAGGACTTAGCACCGGATTTTATTTCATCTCAAACTTTAACTTTTTTGGTTGAAGGAGATAAAAATGGTGTACTTAATAAAATACCATTGTTGCTTAATATAGAAAAAGATCCAAAGACATTTAATGAAGC